GACTGCGCTCATTACCAGGCTGAGGCCCTTCCACACAACATACAGAAATATACTTAGTAGAGGATTTTTTGTATTATCATAAGACATGACATTGCAGCTTTGAGACAAGTCAGGAGTCAAAAGTGTGTTCAACCACAAATTTAGAAGCCAAGTGATGTGTCCGAAACAAAGACTGTAAACAGAAAAGTAAAATTCTCACTCGCTGGCTCGATGAAGCCAATCCAAACACAAAGTGAAGAAACTGGAGCAGCCAGCGACATACATGATATGTCGGGGAGCAAGTCGTTTGCAGTGTATGAATCAACCATAAAGTATGTATGACATAACATGGTTTTCTTGTATTTAACATGCACTACCTTTGCGTTATAAAGCAACAGAAGAGTTAGCAATTGTCATCCGGAGCCTGTTTAAGTTAGCCCTGTTTGTCTTCATCTGAGGACACAGACAAACACTATAAGATAAGATTAACTTTCATGATCTCTCAATGGAGAAATGTACAATGGGTGAGTCATATCTTTCTTTGGTCCATAGTTCGGAAGCACACATTTAAAACAAAACAAAAACAACATTATTTTTAATGTTTCTTAGAAGTTTCGAGAAAAGTCTACTGGAGGTATTTGACACATCAATCCGACACACAATACAATGGGGCATCAGACTGGTATCGTATTGGATCCCGAACAATGGCACCAAAACACCTCCACTTACAGCACTGAAACTACGCATACCAGGAGATAGAAAACTGGTCAGATGAATAGGGAAAGGTTTTAAACTTAGGTTAAATCAAGATTATATGTCATCTCTCTTTGTAAGTGGTCCTCTTACAATTTAGTTCAACAATGTTAGGTGAATAATGAAAAGAAAAAAATCTCTGTCACAACATGTTGGAAAAGAAATGAATATCTGGGCAGATGATGGCTATTTTGATGTGCACAAGCGCAGCCTGTCCTCATTACCAGGCAGACACACATGTCCTGTCAAAGGAAGAAACCGGCACCAAATGGGACCAATTCTGTTTGGATGTGGCACATCTCGAGAAAAGAGCGAGACTTCCTTTTTCTAAAGCACTAATCTCTGAACCGCAAATTAGCTGTCAGTCATCAGTTGGGAGACGGACGTGGTATCAGGGAGAAAGGCAGTCCCTAACAAATCAACAACACGTCAATCACACACACAAACACACACACACACGCACACGCAGAGGATTATGGCACTGAGAACTACTAGATGGTAATGCATACATGCCATTTTCCACTTATTGGAACGGGGAAAAACTACTTTTGTTGTGTTCTTAATTGCGCCGACCATTGAAAAACGCAACCCTGTCTAAAAGTTTGACAAAATAACAAAAGAACTTCCACCGAAACAGACACAAACGTTTAGGATAAGAGCACTTTGTTGTTGGCGCTACATCCGATGATCCACAGCGACTAATCTCACGGCCATATGCTATCCCTGTAAGGTGCAAACATTATGGGTAATGCGGAAGTAGAAGCTCTGTTTTCCACACAACAATCTGACTGATATTTTTCCTTTCAGCATCCAGGTAGCAGCAGATATGATTGCTTCCGACGTTCTAAGGGGGTTTTCACGTTCACAGGCACGGCGGATAGAGCTTGTGTTCCACAGCAAGACGGTTCTGGGTCCTCCTGGCCTTTCTCTGTGGAGTTTCCCGGTTTTCCCCACGTATGCGTAGGTTTCCTCCAGGTGCTCCAGTTTCCCCTGCCATTAAAATAATGAACAATATAGAGTGAATGGCTGGTGTTGGTTGGGGGATTTGATGTCTCAGTGTGTTCGACGTTTCGCTTCTGTCATCACCGTGTGTGGAGAGAATGCAAAGATATCTGACCTCTGAACATCATGAAGCACTCTGGGTGACCTAGGTCTATAAAATGTGCCATAAATAACTGAACAAACATTACTACTACTACTTACTTACATGTGGATGTTTTGGATGCTAAAAGTATGTATGTCTGTCTGTGTTTCCTTGTGTTTGGACTGTCTGTGTTCTCTTCACAAACAGAAAGGAATGGTCCATCCAAATCATAATTAGTTAAACTAAATTGCACAGTAAATATATACAAATTATAATAATAGTAGAACTAGCCCAAATTGAATGTGTGTACTTGTTTATGTACGTAAAAGATGACAAATTATTTCTCATCTTGCCTGTGCAGCCAAATCTGAAGGGCAGCTCAGTTGATATTTTTGGTCGGAATGCACGATTTTTGTTTTCTGCCACTTCTCTCTTGAATATACAACTGCGAATATTCTAACACATTCAAATAGTCAAATGAAATCCCAGGAGAAGGAGCTCCAGACGAGAGCTATAGCCTCCATCATCAAGGAAGATGTCCAACAAGATGTGTTTTCCATTGCCAAGTTGTATGTCTACAGATGTTTTTTATGTTCTGAAGTTCTTGGTGTAGTCCCATTGGTCTACAACTTGTGATGCAATACTCTAATTTCCCCACAGAGGGATGAATAAAAGTTATACTAGCTCTTCTTAGGACACATTTGTAAAGATATCTGAATACTATTAGCTTTTGTGTGAGTGTAAATAAACCTTTGTTTTGTCTGTTTTTTGATATTGGTGTCTTTGTTTGCCCCTTGTTTGTCCATACTTTGTGTTTTTTGTTATGCCTATATTTCTGTCTGTCCGTCTTGATTTGTAATGTCCTTAACAAAATTAATTAAAAAGATTAGAAAATTACATTTTAAAAAGCCTAAGACTCTTCCACAACAGACAGCATGTGCCATTATAAAACTAGTAAGTTTTGACCTTGTTATCATAAAAAAGTAAATTAACAACATGCCTTTACTATGGTATGTATAAATATGCATTCAATTGGTAGCTGAACTTCTGAACTATGTGAAATCTGCTGGAAGAATTGTATCTTTTTGTCAGCTTCTTAAAAGTACTAGCCGCTAGATTCCAAACTTTGCCTCACTTGGGAGAGTACAATAGAAGAGAATGGCAAACGCATTGGTCAACCCAACAGTGTGTCCGTGCAAGAGTTAAAATGACACTTTGTATTGGTGTTGCAAAGGAAAAAGTATGAATATTTTATACACCTCTCCCTGCGCATCAGTCAGTTAAAAGACATTCAAGCCTGTTCTTTTCATGGACTCAAGGCCTTTGGGACAAGCATAGCAGTGGTTTTGCCTCCGTGCAGCATTAGTTGTAGATGTCACACTGTTAAAAAGTAAAGTAGGGATATATGTAGTAATAAGTTGTTAATAATTATCCACTCATCCATCCATGTTTTTCCGCTTCATCACACACACTTCCTCCAGCTCATCCAGGAAAGGTTAATAATTATCCTTTTTTCAAATTGTTGGAATAGCATCACATAGAAAGCTTTCGACTCCCACCAGATCTGACAATGAACGCTGGGAATCTTTTAACCCTTTAACCCTTTAATGGTTTCGTCAACCATTTGGATTTCCATTTGAGCTACTATACACTTGAAACTTGGAACTGAAATCTAACTCTTTGGGGCATCTCACTTGGGTTATAGGCACTTTTACATCAAACTGCATCGCAACCAATCGGTAAAGGCCTATACAAAAAACCGGGTTCAAGAAAGAAAAAAAAAAAGATGTAGGACACAAATGTGGGTGTCCTACATGTTGAAAAATCCACACAAAAGAATAAAAAAATATATTGTTTTCTTCAAGGAGAGAAGGTTAAAGGGATTAATGTTCACCCCTTGAAAAAAGCAATGTATTTTTTTGTTTCCTTTTTTTATCCTATAAGATGTAAAAGTACTAATAACGCACATAATTTCTTATTGGTTATTTTTATTTTTTATTTCAGTTTGAAGGTAAAAGTGCCTTTAACCAAGTGAGATGCCCCGATGAGGTATTTTTCAGTTTTCAGATATAGTGACTAAAAGAGTGATCTAAATGGTTGATAAAACCATGAAAGGGTTAATGCTTGTTTTGCAATTGATCACTCCTGGACAGATGAGAGATGTATAGGGTTTTAATTTAGCAACATCTGTTAAATTTGTTGTTTTAAAGGTGGGGAACATAACTTTTTTGCTCATGAATAATGCATGTGGTTTTTCCCCAACAGAAAGAGTCTTGTCTATTGTAAATGTGACCTAATCAGACCACACATGCTGTCTTCAGCATTGAAAGAAAGAGACCTGTTTGACTTTTGGCTGAGAGCTGATTGGTTGAGTGAGCACGGCCCTCTCATTTTTCTCACATTTGTGTCTGAAAACGCTGATTTAAAGCCGTTACCCGGCCCAGAAAATGCACACATGTGAAAAATAACGACAGATACCAAACTGTGTTGAGAGTGAAGACCTTGGTACATTGCTTTTACTACACTGTTCCATTTTGTGATTTATGGTTTGAAAATTATCCACCCCCAGCTTAAATTTTAGCCTCTCCACTCAATTCTTTTTAATGCCACCATCAACCTCCATGAACACTTCAGAGTTTTTATATATATACAATATGCTCTGCCACTGTGCAAGAGCCTTTACAGTCTGCTCTGGTAAATGGTAGAACCAATCATCCTGGTAACGCGGCCCCCCTCTCAGAAACTGCTCATCCCTTCTCACCTCAGTGTTCTGCTTGGGCCATAAATTTGTCCACCAACTGTTGACATCGGCTGCAATATGCTGCCTTGAGCCTATGATCATCACACGCAGACTGCACACGAACAAGAGGGAGCGCCCTTTCTCTTTCCGCACACACACACACAATGGTAACCAACGAGTCATAAAGTCATAAAAGTGCTACGGACCCCCGAAATGAAAGCAAAGGGAGACTATAGAAAGACCGGGATGAATAACAATAGCTGTGGTGATGGGAGGGTGTGTGTGTGTGTGTGCGTGTGTGTGTGTGTGTGTGTGTGTGCAAAAAGGGGAGGGGGGGGAATTAGCTTCTCCCTCCTGCAGCAGTGAAAGCAATCGCTATGTGGTCCTGGGCTCCTCCCCGCTGGAAAGGAATCCACCAAATCGCTGCTAATTGAATGAGTGACAATGAGCGCGCAAGACGACGTGACAGATGCTCGCGTGCCTTTACAAGCACGCCACCGCCGCCGCTATGAGCGCAAAGGCCGGCTCCGGTCAGCAAACCCTCAGCCGGCGTCCACCTGCTGCTTTACATTGACCGGAGGAGGAGCAGGGAGGTGCAAAACAATGGTCATGACTGTAAAAAGAAAAAAAAGGACAGACGCTTAATCCACAAACTATTACTTTATGGCCCAAGGGACAGGAAATGCGGACACAGAGGGGAAGGCAGCTCGATTTAGAATGAGTGTCCAGGAGTTTTGTGTTTGTGTGACAGGTCAGTGAAAGGGTATAGACTGGTGCATGTGCTCTCCCGGTGTAATTCAAGATAAATACACATAAAACTTGAATACATTTGATGAATAAGATTTGTCAAAAAGGGAAAGCGTTAAAACCTGTGAAACCTAGAAAAGCACAGATAAGATAAGATAACTTTATTGATCTCACAATGGAGACATTTGCGTGGATGGAATGACTCAGATTGCGCAAAAAGACATGAAGTGTGCAAACATGGTGAAGGTTAAAAAGGCTAAAAATACAGTCCGTGCAAAGAGAGAAGACCTTCGTCAAGAGGTGCACTTCTACTTTGATCAAATGTAATATCTTTTGAATTCATTTTGAAAGTTTCATGAACTGTTAAGCTAAACACAAACTTCATAAATACAATAAAATGTGTAAATGCTCCTAAAGGTATAAGTTGTGTAGAAGTTGTAATTTACTTATAAACACTAATTAAACACTGACAAACAATAAGTTGGTTTTTACATTTTGCAGCAACTTAAGTCAATGGGAAAAAGAACAAAGGGTAAAAGAGCGTTCATGGACATTTATCAACACGGTTTGATTCTCTGATCTGTGTTGGCGAATTCAAAGGTTGTGTAAAGTCCCCCCGAGATAACTACTGCTATGAATATGGGCTACACAAGAATTGTAGAAGAATACATTTAATTGAAATGAATTACTAGCGTCAAAAGTAATAGTACCCAAAAGACCCTGGTGAAAACATGAAAAAGTTTGTTCTACATGGTGAACACAATATTGAAGTATGTAATGGTATACACACACAAACACACACAAACACAGGCACATGCACCCACACACAAACTGCAACAGTATGTATTGCTTTAACAAAAAAGTAAAAATTTAGTTATTTTGATATATGGGTAAAGTTGACTCGTAAAAACGTGTTTGTGTCCCCCTCTCAAGAATAGAATATGAAAATATGGTGATTCAAAATGAATTTTTCTCTCTCATTTTAGACAACTTCCAAAGCTTCTGTTGGGCAATATTAAAGCTTGACAAACTGGCAAAAAAGATGATTCTTCTGAAAGTTATGGCCAAACTCCAAACGATTAACTGAATCTCTGCACCTGCTCCCAACATGAATATTTCAACTGATTAATTGCCATCAAAAGCAGCACGATTGTTCAGCTCCTCTGGTTATGTAGCGTGCCTAAATCTATTAAGCCTCCATCTGCTTTTTACTTAGATTATGCCCCCATTCTATACATTAATTGTTTTATTCGGTTCACTGTTTAAGACCCACCCCCACCAAGTCTGTCATTCTCCTGCTCCCTTCTTCCATAAACTCTGGGGCAGACTTTGTTCTCCAAATGTGATTAGCTTCCCTGGGACGCTGGGAGTAAATTGCATTACGGCATTGTGAGCATTTGAGCTATGGAAATGCTCCGACTCCCGTATCAAACCTGTTTAAATATCAGCATGTGCAAAATGGGAGTGAATGCAAACATTTTGTTGACATGAATGGTGGTGCGGGAAAGGTTTTCAAGCTGATTTAAAATGGTGGGTTCAAAAGGATAGCTTCTGGTCTGTGTCCTTGCACGTTTTAGAATATGTAATAAGTTATTGTTTTGTGCTGAAGCCGCGTGAATGAGCATCAAACGGATGGCATGCACTGGTGTCTCTATTGCACATCGAACATAAACAGTGGGAGGCAGCTGGTTGTAAATAATTCATTTGTTTTTTTGCATATCTTCCATTGATTCCTTACCGGTACAAATATATTGTTAGCTACATATTGTTTTCATAGTAAACCATGTTAAGACAAATATTGTAAAGTTTTAACTCAATGATTTCAGTCAAAATCTCATATTTTGGGGCCTTAGATGTCTAAAACATATTATAAGTGGTAGTAAGTAGTAATTACTATATATAGGGTTGCATATTTAAGCTAAAGTCTGCAGCATTTTACTCTCTCTCCAACAGTAGAATATACAGTATGTCTTAATTACTACCCATTTTTCTCACAATCGGGTTCTGCTCGGCTGGAGGGGAGTGAAGTACTTTAGGCTTAATAGCTCGGTCCCAGTGCCAAATACATGTCGCCAGATGGTCCTCCAGAATGCAGTGCTCCCAGTTGTGCACATTTGTCAAAGTTTACATCTATGTCGCCTTTCATTTTCTCTCCTATTTCAAAGCATAGCTTTAAAATCCAATTACACCATTGTTTTAAAAGAAGGCTATACTACTTCAAAAGTATCTGTTGCGTTTATGAGAAAAAGAAAAAAAATCATACGCTATCAGAAAAAAAGTGTTGATCAAAGAGAAACATTAAATGAAATATACTTTTGCTGATCTACCTGTACATGTATGATACATGGATGCAAATTGAAAGACGTGTTAACCCCCCTGTGTCTTATAGAAGGTGTATACGTTTTTTCCACAATCCCCTCATTCTGCTGCAGTGAGTTTGAAGTGATGTTAAACAGATTTATTCAGACGGAGCTGTTGCTCGGCGTGACCAACTTTTTAAAGGCATTCATTAGACTTGTGCGCTCTTTCTGCCCAATTCGCCACAGAGCTTACTGCGCGTCCTCTCACCAGAGAGCCGCCGATGAGGCGCATGAGAAATATGCAGCGTGCACAGCCGCACACCAGCTACAAAGTGGGAGACGTGGATGGTCAGCTGCCACTTGAAAGCACCCATCTATTCATCTGTCTATAATACAAGAAGCGTATGTCTGCCTGTGTGCCTTGCGCTTGCGCAAATCCACCTAAGAGCTGTCACAGAGTTTGAAGGCGTTTTCTATTGATACATCTGGAGCCAAAGCTGTGCGCTCTAGCCAGGTCCCTCCTAGTTATCCACTGCACACGGAATGAGAGCTTACCAATGTGAACACATCCTCATTTAAGACCATTGACAAATGTAGACAGCACCTGTGCATTGCTTTCATCGCTCCTAAAATCTGTTTTATTTGTGTGTGTTTTGCGTTGTGTTGGTCTTGCTACTGCGAATGGATAGTTCTCTGATTAAGTCTATACTTTTTAGATAAATATGGATATCGCCCACCACAAATATCAAAGTGACCATGCAAAAAAGTGCTTGGATCAATAGAAAGCCTACTGTGGGCTTTTGCATTCATACAACCATTGTGAATGATTTCCCATCCTTAACCATTTAAGAACCCAGAAATGTGATGTAAAACGGAGAAAATATGTAGCCTTGCTTAATAAAACAAAACTACTTAGAAATATCTAGGAGTAAGAACAATGTAGAGATGGTTTTGTAGGAAACCAGATTGCTGTGTAGAAAGTGTCCATTTCTGTACAGTAACCTGGCATCCAGGAGTTCACGTAGCTATTATTTTGGGGCCTACAGGGTTAAAACAAGTTGTACAAGTCTTTGTACATCCAACCTTCAAGTACATCCTCACTTTGCAGTAAACTCTATTAGAAGTTCCACAAGTGGCATACAGCCTATACTTCCAACTGCACAATAGAACACAAATATGTCTGAGACGAATGCCCAGACATCCAGGAGTGAAGACAGCTGCCTGCGCTGCGTTTCACAAGTGTGTTCTCAAACGCACAGTGTAGTTAAGCTTGAACTGACCATATTTTCTGACTTGTCTAATGAGTATTTGGACTTCAGTGCGCCTTCGTGCTGTCAGAGAACAGACCTGAAGCGAGACAAGCTACCATCATGTGGTTTTACTGCAATGCAAAACGAGAGCTCTTTGAATGGACGTTTTCTTGAAGCCTTTACATTTCTCACTGTGCATTGTGCTGAAAGTGGGGAAAGTGCACCCCAAAAGGGTGGGGTGTCTGCCCCCTCGGTGTCTCCTCCTCCCGTGGAGTCCGGAGTGGCCACCAGCCAGGGTTTGATTTAAGACGCGTTTGTCTTTCCCGGCATGAAAAGGAAGGAAGAAAAAGAAGGGGGGGCTGTCGGTGATGTACAACGAGTTTGGTCTGAGGCGGGTTATTTTTGGGCGAGTGAGCGAGCACAGGCGCCTCAAACGCAGAGAGGGAGCGAGGCAGCGCGCACAGAGCGCAGCAGACACACAGAGGAGCGACTGAGAGACAGACGCACGGAACCCACTGTCATTCCGCGGCTGTACGCACACTGGAGCAGATCAACAGACTGACAACAAGAAAGGAAGTTATTTGCTTTTTCTGGAGGAGGTCTGTCGTATTTCAAACGTTTTAATGACTTTTTTCCTTTGTCTCATCATTGGGAAAGCGACACCAATGACTGAGAAAGAAGCGCGTTGTATTTGTTAAACTGGGACTGATTTGTGCTACTTTCTGTAGCTGTGTTGGAGTTTATCAGAATGCTTTACGAAAGACTCTGTTTTGCAAATATGTGCAAACTTGTGGCTCTGTTGTTCTTGATAAGCTACGTTTCGGGAAAGACTTTAAAATACCAAATTTACGAGGAGCAGAAAGTGGGCACAGTCATTGCCAGACTCCGAGATGATGTGGCGGATATATTGGCCAAATTCCCCAGTTCAGTGTCTCTGCGCTTCCGTGCCGTGCAGAGAGGCACCTCGTCTCTACTGACAGTGCGTGAGTTGGACGGAGAGATCAGCGTCAGGACCAAGATCGACCGCGAGAAACTCTGTGAAAAGAACCTGAACTGTTCCATCCAGTTCGACGTACTCACTCTGCCCACAGAGCACCTGCAGCTGTTCCACGTCGATGTGGAAGTGCTGGACATCAACGACAACGCGCCCCAGTTCGCTCGCCCTGTCATCCCCATTGAAATCTCTGAGAGCGCAGCGGTCGGAGCGCGCATTCCTCTGGACAGCGCCACAGACCCAGACGTAGGGGAGAACTCTCTGTACACGTACGCGTTAGAGCCCAACACTTTCTTCAAGATCGACATTCAGTCCAGGAGCGATGGGGTTAAGTACGCGGAGCTTGTGGTGCTTAAGGAGCTGGACAGAGAGGTGCGCTCCGGTTACGAACTTCAGTACACGGCTTCTGACAGGGGCGTACCCCAGAGGACAGGCTCCACGCTCCTCAAAATCAGCGTGACTGACTCCAACGACAACAGCCCGGTGTTTGAAAAATCCTCCTATGTCATAAACCTGCCTGAAAACTCCGCGGTGGGCACTTTGCTAATTGACTTGAACGCGACGGACGCAGACGAGGGCACCAACGCCAAGATAGTGTACACTTTTAGCAGTCACGTGGCCCCCAAAATCATGGAGACGTTCAAAATCAACCCCGACACTGGTCACCTGACCCTGCTCCGACGAGTCGACTATGAAACGGTTAACTCATATGATATAGATGTGCAAGCGCAGGACATGGGACCCAACTCGATGCCTGCTCACTGCAAAATCCTGGTCAAAGTTGTAGACGTGAATGACAATAAGCCAGAGATAAGTATTAACCTAATGTCAGCCCAGGGAAACGGGGATGCGGCTTACATCTCCGAGGCGTCCCCTTTGGACACTTTTGTGGCGCTGGTGAGAGTGGAGGACTTGGACTCTGGCTTAAACGGTGAAGTGGAGTGCAAATTACACGGCCAGGGTTATTTTAAGCTGCAGAAGACCTACGAGAATAATTACTTGATATTAACTAACGTCTCACTCGACAGAGAGAAAAGATCAGAGTTCAGTCTCACTGTGGTGGCAGAGGACAAAGGCAGTCCGAGTCTCTCCACCATCAAGCACTTCACTGTTCATGTCACTGATGAGAATGATAACCCCCCTCGCTTTGAGAAAGGCAGATATGAGATTTTCAAGTCCGAAAACAATGCTCCAGGGGCATACTTGACCTCTATTATGGCCACTGATCCTGATCTAGATACCAACGGACAGGTTAGTTATTCAGTCCTAGAAAATTCAGTTCATGGAAGCTCTATTTCCACATATGTCACTATTGACCCATCTAATGGTGCCATATATGCCTTGCGCACGTTTGACAGAGAGGATGTCAGCCGCATTTCCTTTGTGGTTCAAGCCAAAGATTCAGGGAAGCCATCCCTTTCAACTAACGCCACAGTGATTTTGAACATCCTGGACGAGAATGACAATCCGCCAATCATAGTAGTCCCCCAACTGTGGAACTTTAGCGCTGACATCCCCGCGTCAAAGTTTACAGAGGCAGGGCAGTTAGTCACAATGGTCAGGGCCACAGATAGAGACACTGGAGTGAATGCTGAGCTTATCTGCTCCATTGTGAGTGGGAATGAGGAGGGGTTCTTTCTCATTGAACCGAGAACATGTGAGATCCATGCCAACGCCAGCCTAGATAGCTACCCTCACGAGCACGCCGAGCTCACGGTGGTGGTGCGAGATCAGGGAAGCGAGAGCCTCAGTGCCAAAGCAGTTTTGAAAATCACCCTCTATGAAAACATGGAGAACCACGTGCAGGTGATGGACCAGGGCGAATCGTCCCTGGATGTTTCTCTCATCATCATCATCTCCCTGGGGGCCATCTGTGCCGTGCTGCTGGTCATCATGGTCGCCTTCGCCGCCCACTGCAACCGGGAGAAGAAGGACACCAGGAACTCTTACAACTGCAGAGTGGCAGAGTCCACTCACCAGCACCATCCCAAGAAACCAACTCGCCAAATTCACAAAAACGACATCACCCTGGTCCCCACGGTGAACGGGACCCTGCCAATCCGGTCCCACCACCGATCTCCCTCCACCACGCCCCCTATGGACCGCGCGCAGATGGGCAGCCGACAGAACCACCACAGCCGCCAGTCGCTCAACAGCCTGGTGACCATCTCGTCCAATCACATCCCGGAGAGCTTCGCCTTGGAGCTCGCACACGCCACTCCACCGGTCGAGGTGAGCAAATCAAATGAGTCTGACATTTCAACTGCAGTCCCTTAGCCCCTTTCCAAATTTTCTCTCCTACTGCTTGCCAGACTACACACCCCTCCCTCCCCTCACCACTTTCTCCCCAATCTTCTCTCCCCTCCTTCTCCTCCTCCTCATCCTCACACAGCTGTTTGAACAAATTAACTTGTCTCCACGTGTGACAGTGACTTAATCAGCACTGGCCTGTAGTTTGAACTGACTTTCATTAAGACTGTTGATGATTACACATGTCTCTGTCTTTACCATGTTTACACTGTTGCCGCCATGACCCCCCCCCCCCCCTTCTTTCATCACTTTCACTTCATATGTCTCCATAATTGTTCAGACCCCCCCACCTATTCAGTTCTCTCCCTTTTTTCTAATGTCATCCATTTTGTCTCAGGCATCTTGATCATCAACCATTTTGTGTTTACTCATCCATTGTTTTGTGTCTGTCTTTTTTATTTCTCCCCCTCCATCTGTTTCTCATCCACCCCCTTTTATTTTTGTTTTATTTCTTTTTTTTGTTTTGTTATTTTTGGATGTAGCAAGTCTCACAGCTTCTGTCCATGCTCCATCAGGGCCAGTACCAGCCCAGACCCAGTTTCCGCGGCAACAAATACTCCCGCAGCTACAGGTAAATTACCCCATTCCTCCTCCCACTCCCCGTAAAGAGATTATATTTTATTTACTTTTCAAACCACTTGTGATTCATTGTGTTACTACATGTTCCAACTACTTGTTGTGCGATTGCCTGCTCAGTTCAATGTAGTTAAATGGTGTGTTTGTTTTGACTTTCACATCATGCCAGTGTCATTCAGTTCAGATATATGCAAGCCATCTGTCTATAGATGTCACAGCAGTGGTCTTCCCTCCAACATAATAAAGTATGAATCCATCACTTCTTCGTCATAACATTCCCTGTTGATTTGTAGATGACAGATTTATGAGAGCCCCCAGTGGCTGTAGTGAAAGATTTACTGATAGGATATACCTGCACTGAGGATTTATGGCCCACGCCTCGTCTAGAGACTTGATAGATTCTACAAACACCCCAAAGTTTCGTTTGATGGATTCATACTTTTTTATTTGTCCCCAAAAAAAAGACGGATTCAGATCAAAAATCAATGACGCCTGCCTGCAAACCAACTGCTTCTTTCTTCTTGTTTTTGTTCAGTAATACTCAAACTTTGATCCCATTGCTGCTTCCTGTAGGTATGCGTTACAAGACATGGACAAGTTCAGCCTGAAGGACAGTGGCCGTGGGGACAGCGAGGCGGGAGACAGTGATTGTGAAATGGGCCGAGAATCCCCAGTGGACAGGCTGCTTCTGGGGGAGGGATTTTCTGACCTAATCCATCTCGAGATGCACCATCGTCTCCACCCAGGTGAGACACCGTGTGACGTGGCCCAACCCACTCCTGTCACATCCTCTCTCGTCATTGGCTGCTCTGGTAAACACAGTGCAGCAGCCTGTGTGAGTGTGTGTGTTTTTTTTTGCCCCTGCGCGCCCTTTTCTACGGTGACTCCTCAAATTGGCTTCACTGCGCTGAGCAATGCCTTCATTAGCAGCCAGTCACACATAGTTTTTTACATCTTGTATCTAACTTAAGTCTTGAGACTGCAAATCAGAACTGTATGGATGTTTTTTTTTTTTTTTTACATACATGCATGATCTAGTGTATTCAGTAACATTGGTGTAATATATATTGTACTCTTGTAAGCTAGGGTACCTTACTTTAACCTTTAGCCATGTAATTAAAGTGATGTCTCTAGATCCTCCTTCTCAACACACTTTGGATCTATCACTAGTTTTGACATGCATGTATTTTTGGCCTGTGTTTCATCTTTTGATCAGCTTTTACAGACAGTAAAGTAAAATCGACAGGATCACTCTAACCAATCAGCTTTCAGCCAAAAGTGGCAAGTAGTGACTTACAGAGTCTTCCTACATATATGCAAAAGATGATATGGTTTCTCATAAGATAATCACAACATATTATGATCTAATTTGTTCATAACAATTTACTTTTACAAGACATCAGATGGGACAACGTTTGGTCCCCCAGCTTTAGTTAGAGAAACATGCGATAATCTTCTTCTGTACTTAGACCACACTGGTACATCCACTACCTGCAGCCTAACTAATTTCAGCACCACGGACAGCACCCTCCCTTTCATAAGCCTGTTATTAGTTCTATGCTCTGTTCCAGTCTCCAACACAGCCCTCTCCATTCACCCTCAACACAGACACAATCCCCCATTGTACCGGGCCCCATTCTTCTCGGCAGCCCCTCATTTCCACGCTCGTTATCACATTCACAGAGGTTATGGTGTGTCGCGCTGGCTTTTTGTGGTTCTATATGTGTCTGTGTGCGTGCATTATCTGCCCTTAAGATAAAGTCGTGTCTGTAAAAATCCTCCCCAGAGCACAGATGAGTCGCCTGTCACTCATCGGAATGCGTCTAAGGGTGCTGTCCCCCCCCCCCGCCCTTCCTCACGCTCTCTTTTTCCCCTCGCAGTGAGTGACAGTACTGCACTTTCATGTCTGAACTGAGGAGAATTCAGCGTAATTGCTTTTAGAACGATGCTATTCTCTCTCTGCTGCTGACGCCGTCCCTCTTCTGCCTCTTCCCCTGGCTCTGTTAATATATTCTCTATCATTATTGAGATTAAGTGATAGCGAGGTGCACATGGACACTGTCTTTTTGTGCTCGGAGAGAGACTTGTTGGTGTTTGTGCTTTCATGCTCATTTGCAACAGGGAGCTAATGACCCAAGAGCAAGGATTATCCTTATTTTTCTCCAACAGATTTAATTTGCTTAGATTTTTCTATTTAGATGTCTATATACGTTGAACATGATAAAAGCACCCGCTAAATAAGCAGCACATTTGGACTCGCACGCAAATATTGCATTAACAGCCTTCCGCAGGTTTCATTTGGGACAGCTTTAGCAAATTGTCATTTTTTTAGTCTTCATTATGCGTTTTCCTTGTTACCTGCAGCTACCCACAATGCTTTGTCTGAAGATAGAAAAGACATCACAATAGGCCCCTGAGAAGCGCATAAAGACATCCTAAAACCACAAACAAAACAGTGTGGTATGAAATATTCAAACCTCTGCGTATAACTTGTGATTCAGTTTTCTCCACAGAATCTCTGTATTTTTAAGTACAAGCAACCTCAACACACTCGAATATTTGAAACATATTGATCTCTTCAGCTCGTCCGGTTGTTGTTCTAAGGTTATTCCATCTGCTAAAAGTTGATGTTTTTTTCTCTCATTTTCAGCTATGAGACTGTGCACAGATGAATGCCGCGTCCTGGGACACTCGGACCAATGCTGGATGCCGCCTTTGTCCCTCCCCCAGTCCTCATCTGACTACCGCAACAACATGTACATACCTGGGGAGGAGTCTACCCAGCCACCCCAGCAGCAGACTGATGACGACCAGTCCTCTGTCGATTCAGAGCGCCGTAAAAGTTTTTCTACTTTCGGAAAGGAGCCGGGCAGCGAGGAGGCAGCAGGCGGGGCAATGGTGGAGGGAAGTGATGTCACAGGGGGCGGGGCTGGATCCCTCCTCAATGAGATGAACAGTGTTTTCCAAAGGCTGCTTCCCCCTAACGTGGACGGCTACGCTGAATGTAACGAAACAAGCCAGCCTGTGCCTCCTTCAGCTGGAGACAGGGCAGTGGGGCGTGCTAATGCTAATTCAAACAACGCTGTACCCCAGGACAGTAGAAGGGGGTTGTTGCCGGGCGGAAAAGGTGCCCCTTACCCTCCTGGTGTGGCAGCGTGGGCAGCCAACACCCATTATTTGAATCCAGCGTCGAACAACCACATTTCAAATACCCCCACGAATACATCCACGTCCACCTCGACCTCCACAAATGTTCAGCCACCACATCTCAAGTGGCTCCCGGCCATGGAGGAAATCCCCGAAAACTATGAGGAAGATGAATTTGATGGAGTTTTTCACCAGGGCGGGAAGAGGAACGAGGGTCGCCACGACACCAATGTGGACGCTAGCGAGTTGGTGCATGAGATCAATAAACTGCTACAGGACGTCCGGCAGAACTAGAGACAAAGTGGGTTCACTGTGTCATAGGGGACATTTCACGCTTCTTTGTGCCAACAAATACAGACTGCTGCCAGTTCCTGTTATAGCTTGTCCTGTTTGTTTTTACCAAATATCTCCTTATGCCGAGTGCTTTCTGAGAGACTCTTGGAGAAAATGTAACACAAAGCACTGAAGTGTCTTGACGGCATCATTCAAAGAACAGGTTGCTTGATTCTTTTTGGCCTCTCTTGAACTTTAGCTTGAATGACGGATATCAAGTAGAAATCCACCAAACTGTACCCTCTCTTTATCCATAATGTTTACAGCTGAGTCCATAAGGAACAGTGGTCTAGAGTTTGCTTATACAGTGTACAATATTGTACAGTGTTTGTGAAATCGGAAAAATCACTTGAATATTGTGCTCTGTTTCTGTTTTTGTTATGATGGAATGTAACGGTACAATTTGAACTTTGTATTTTAAAAATACACTCTTTTTTACTTCTATATATTTATATGTGTTCATGTATGTTTGTACAGAAAGAAAGAAAACAAATGTCTATTTTTTATATCGTCATTGCATGTGTTAATCACTAAATATGTCTGTCGTCCATTTGTTTGTTATTTTATAAAACTGTATTTAAGTTTGTTCCTGAAAGTGTGTGCGTGTGTACAAAAATATCACATTCCAATGAAGTTCCATGTTGGAATTTGATTTTTGTATGGTATTATTGTGATCAGTGGCTGAATAATAAAGTGAACAGATTCATAAACATGCCTGATCATTTTTATTTGTGTATATATGTAGATGGATATAAAGAGAGAGAGAGATGGACACGATAGATAGATATATTGATGGATAGATATAAAGATAAATCTATGTATACGTAGGGCAAACGTTATTTTCAACATATTCTTGAAAATGCCTGAACATTTGTATTTGTGTATTTATGGATAGATGGATTTATATAGATAGACAAATAGATAGATGGAGAGATAGATAGATGGATAGATGAATAGATAGATAGATAGATAGATCTAAGTATGCTGAGGGCACATGTTATTTGCAAAAATTCATAAACATGTCTGAACATTTTCATTTGTGTATTTATAGATAGACAGATAGGCACTTACTATTTTCAAATCAATACAAGTAAAGGAAGGTGAGCACATATCACAAAATTATTTATATTTTTATACTCACACATTAAACACACACACACACACACACACATACACAAAGCCACTATACACGTAAACATTACTGTGCAAAATAAAAACTGAATTTTTCTTTATGCATCCCATTTTTTCACTTCCCTCTTTGTTTCCCCAGAGTGGCGCTTCCACAGCTTGCCTTTGTGTCTTAGCCCCCCCTATTGTCCATTTACGGCACTGCTGCTGTTTCTTTATGCACAGCCAGAACCTGCTGTGTGCTTTCAGCCTTCCCCACTATTCACATGCATTACTAATAACTCTGCTATTAACCATAAATGCATTCCCAAATGATCCACACAGATTAAAATTCATTTAGGCGTTAATTTACTTTCTGAGCAGAGGTTCTCCCGGCTCGCCTCTCTCCTCTGTGAGCGCATCAGCTTATGGTAAATATGCGTGTGCAAACGAAAAGCATCACACATAATAGCTTCACATGATGAGAAATCAGCAGCATGATATTGTACATTGCCACCATATGGACGTAATGCAATTAGACTGAACACAGAAGACGAGTGGCGTTCCTCCCCTCAGCTGCACATGAGATATTTGATCAAGTGTTGATGGACAAACTAAGACCACTCATCCACTTTGAAGGGATGAAAGAAGGGTGAATGAGGCAATTAACCTCGGGAGACAAGGCTTTATAAAAGTGAAAGGTTTCAATTAGCATATACGCACGAACACACACACACACACACACACATACGCACAACCATGCCAGCATGCCAGACCTATTGCACATGTTTTGAGTGGGAAGGGAAACCGGAGCACCCGAAGAAAACCTATACATTTACATATTCAGAAACAGGAAACTGGATACCTGGGAAAAAAGTATGAGCAGAGTACTGTTGTATAAATTATTGCACTGTGGATACATGGATGATCTTCAGGCCATTCTGTAAATAATTATTGTCGGCCCATTGTTGTTTTCTTCGCCATGTCTTACCCCTGGTTTTTACTTTTGAGTTTATCTTCTGCCATTTATTACATATTTATATTATTTTTGCGGTTCTGCTTTTGGGTGCTTGTTTATCCGTGACACTGCATTAACACAGTGTGATCACAGTGCGTTTGATAATTGATGTTTGATGTATATTAACTCGAAATAAATAAACTCAATTCAAGTCTTGCTTCTAACAGTGTGCCCCAGGGCAGCTGTGGCTACAGTCATAGTTTATCACCACAGTGTATGGAATGAATGAATACATAAAACACGTGAAGCGTCTTTGAGTGTCCAAAAACAAGCAATATAAAACTATTGCATTATTATTATTATTATTATTATTATCATTATTAGGCCACAAAAGCTCTTTCTCTTGCATTTGCACAAACATACAGTCCTTTGCTGCATTTCCATTAAAGATAGTCATGCAAAAATATACAGAATTGCCTGCTGTCAGTAATGAATACAAAAACCTCCCATAAGAGCAGGACTTGGGTGTAACCACGTGAACATAGCTACGCATATTTACAGCCTTCAGAGCGGGACTCTCACAAACACAAACACTTAATAATGAGCTAATTTGTCTTCATAATTAAAAAGGCAGGCCTCAATAAACAACAAATGAAGGCAGTGAGTAGAATACCTATAAGTAAATACAGGACTAATGTGGAGAGACCTGAGCCTTATACGTATCCTGAGATTACATCTAAATACAGGCTAATAATTCTCACTTTTGGTCATCAAGCGTCCGACAAAATGAATCAGAATTTACTCATCTGATTGAATTAATATTATGTGTAAATGCTAGTAGAAATTAGATTGGCAAATAAGTGATGCTACTACAAGACTTATATGGCTTAGTGTAATGGTGTGTGTAATGAAACCAATATGAAACTTGGAAAACAATAAAAATATTTCCTATTTACGACGAGTCTGTGAATGTGGTTTATCAGTAGAAATGCAGTTGGATTTATTGGAACGAAACTCAAGTTCAGGGCCTCTGCTAATGAAAAGGCTTTTGTTGTGACATTTTGTTTATCCTTTGAAGTATTTACTGAAGTCAAGTCAAACCAATTTACACATTATTCAGATGTTGGTCAAACTCAGTGACAAGTTACAGACTATTTATGAAGGACAGTTTTTGAGTTCAAATGTCCTGTTTTAATGAAGGCATGCCATACTTTTGATACTGTACGACAACGTAAAGTAGAAGCTGTCGTGTAACAGTGGCTGAGTGGGCAGCTCTTATGCTTCACTGTAAGTAGGTTGTAGGTTTGATCCCATTTTTGGACTTTGCTTGTTCCCCGTGGTGTCTGGAAACTGGAAACAAAAATTCAAAAAGAACAAAAGTAGTTTGGCAGCAAGTCCCAAGTAGCTCTGGAACAGTTGTTGTTTTGTGCATTACAGTTGTTATTTTTCTTCTTGAGATGTTGCTGCGGTACAGTGTTCATGGTTTTTCACTGGTCCAGACCGGAGCAGAGAGGATTCATGGTCTGAAACAACCGGATTAGGAAAAAAAATCCAACGGATGAATGCTAACTTTTTGAAAAATTGCTAATACAGCCTTCAGCATTTTATTTTAGACTAGAGAGCAGAGATAATGGTCCAAACCAAGCTACTCCATCTCTGCTGCTCTGACCTGAAGTGCTGTTATAGTTTAATACAATTACTACCTATTTTTAGAATTATCTATTTATTTTTATTTTTTGTGTGGATGGATGTGTTTCTGCTGCTTCTGGACATCTGAAATTCTCCAATTGGGGATCAATAAAGTATTAGACTGCTGAACTCTCTGTAGCTTCTTGGTGATATGGACTTTGGTGTTTGAGCTTTTACTGTTGTATAATGTCCATAATGTTCATAATGTTTGTATGGGGCTCCACCTCATACCACTTCATATCATACCGCTTGCCGCCTGACATTTGTTTTTTTGTTTTTGTGTTGTTTTTTTTCCCTGTGCTGCTCAAACGAATTGCCCCTGGTAGGATATATTTAAGTACAGTCTGAATCTGAATCTGGTTGGGTTTTTTCTTGGCTCTCTAGTTTTCACCACCCAAAACACACATACGTGAAACCCTCCAGCTCCAGTCGTGCTGACCAAGCAGGACAAGCATCAACATCAAGACATGGGTCCCCGGCCTCCGCACTGCAGCGACCACAGCTCTCGACAAATGCAGTTGAACAAATGCAGTCTCAATTCAAACCTTCACCTTAAACTAAAAACAAATCTATGTAGTTCTTTCTCTTCCGATAATTTCAAGTGACCACCATTTCAACAGTTGTCACCGGTGATTTGGAAATCTTAAAATGTTACTGTACATAATAATATCCTGCACAGACTATACTTTTTACCTTCAATATGTTGCACACTTCTGTCTTTTTGCACAATCTGAGTGATTCTATCTGTGCCGAATGCGTAATGTAAATGTCTCCATAGTGAGATCAATAAAGTTTATCTTATTTTATCTTGCCTCATGCGCTGAGTCCTTTGTTGGCATCACACAGGAGTGTTCCAAAGAGTGCAGTATGTTTGTATTTAATTTTGAGGAAGGCCGACTACAGTACGACTTGCATTACAAAGAAAAGAGACAATAGCTTTTTCTCATCCTCACAATAGAAACATACCATGTTTATAGTTTTGTGTTTTGTCTACACCAGACAATTGTATGATAGCCATTTTATTACCTTTATATGTTTCAACAGTATACTTCTGTCTTCCTCAGAAGCGTTTTGCGATGTCACCTTGCTTATGTGAAACTCAGTGAGTAATGTATGAGTTGTTATTTTTATAGTGACCCGAGACATGGTAGTTGAATGTAATTTGTCAGTTTAAAACTCCATCCATCCATCTTCTTCCCCTTAGTCC